AGCCAGCAGGTCCAGTTCAAAAAATTCTCCAAAAATACCTGTAATTTAAAAATGTGTTCTTGCCTCTTGATGATGGTAACTTGTTTCCAAGATTCAGCAGCGACTCTAGCTGACTCTATAGCTGCCTTCATCTCATCTTTTGTAGTTTTTGGAACCACGCTAATTACTTCATCAGTGGCCTGAAAGAGTTGCTCTTAGAATTTTAACAGAGTTGATCTTTCTGGCTTAGACATCAAAGCTCTACAAAATCATTTTTAGCGCTGCAAGTACTTTGCTGTTTCTATTCTTCATCGTTTTCTGCAATTTGGCAAATGGTATTAGTCACCAATGCATCAAGGAACTTTTCAAAGTTTCTTTACTGAGTTAAAACTGTTATACCTTCTCAATAAACTTCTGAAGTCTACTACAGTCATTAGATCGTATAAAATGCAAATTCTACCTCCCAACTTACAAGGCAAATAGTTTTCAAATGATTAGTATAGCAAATTCATCAAAAAACTGAAGTGGATTACCGATTTAAAAATTAGTGATGAGTGAAGAATACCCAGTTAGACTAGGAAATAAACAAAATAAAAAGTAAAAATAATAAGAATTAAAATATAAATACATCAACTCTATAACAATCATACAAAGTTATCCAACATACTGGATTAGTAACTTCAATCCAGTCGGAAGCTTTGGAGTCTACTGCGTGACCGTCAATCCATAGTTTCACTTTTTCTGGAGAACCAAGCGCAATATGAGATGTACTAAAAGCTGCCGCAGACTTGACTATGTTTAGCCCCTGAAAAGATGTAACCTCACGTTAGCGCAAAAAAAAAAATCTACAGGAGTAACTAGGGCCCGAAAATCTGTGCCAATTTCATGCTGTAGCTGAAGAACAGTAAAATTAATATGGCAAGGTCCTTGCTCCCTTGACCCAGACTTTTTGCAGTCACTATGCTATTAACGACTAATTATCCTTTCGGTGAGCCACTAGTATGACTAACGGGGGTTTCAGTGCATCTTTTCTGTAACCAACAAAAACTTCGTTTAAATTTACAGATGAATGGGTGAAATTTTAAACTTTCCTTCAATTATTTGTGTACAGTTATTAATTTTCAGATTACAAGACTGCTTTTTACGATTCACACTTATATACTCTTGCAGAAACAGCTATATTTCTTCGTACAAAGATAGTGACTAATTAATGTTTATCAATACTCTCCTTTATCAGCTTAAAAAGCAACCAAAAAAGTGTTCGGAAGTGGTCAATCAACAACTGTCTCTCCAGCAGCCTCCCCTGTTGATACTTCCAATGATCACATTTCTATGACCTTTCTTTTAATAATTCCTTTCAAACTTATCGTGTCCACACCTGATTTCAAAATTGTACACTTTAGGAAATTTTCCCATTTTCGACTAAATAAACAATTTGTGCAAACTAAGAACTGTAAATATTTCAGCTTCCAGCGACGATATAATTTACCACAGAAACCGTTGGTTTATCTTGCTCCAATAGTATCCAGCAGTAAAAGCTTGTTTCCTAAGCTTGAAAATGTTCCTCCACCTAAAGCCTACTTAATAGATCGTAACAAGACTGTGAATTTTTCTTTTCAAAAAACTACCACAATATCAGGCTTCCCATTTTAATGGTTATTCAAAATTTCAGTGTTTTTTAAAAACTACTAAAAATGCCAAGACCTTTTAGCACTTTAAAATACAATATTAAATAACAGAATATCCTTAAAACTTGTATCCTCAGCCGATGCTTAGTTCCTGGAACAGTTCAGTATTTCTGTAAACAAATGGTCATGTTGTTTTACCAGTTTAAAAAATACACTTTTTTTTTTGCAAAATGAATTGACTGTTTTTTGAAATAGGATATGCTGGTAAAGGAGCGTCTAATCTCAACAGTATAAAATATTGCCGTATTTCAATTCACTGAAAACCAAATTTTGAAGGTTTTTAAATCAGTAACAAAAATATGCTTTTTGTGTAAATTAAAATATAATCTTAGAATTAAGTTTATATTGTTATAACTTTAATTAAAGTGCCTTGCCACAAATCGCTATTGACCAAAACATAAGTTTACTATGAAACACTTAAAATAAATTTATTTGCAAGCATCATTAGCACTGCGCAAGAAAACAGAAAAACTTTAACCTAAAGATGTAGTTTTATGTAAAGTTCTACAAGTACATCAGCACTTGTGATGACTTTTCTGAAAGATCAAAGAGCTAGTTTACGGCAAATACGTTTAATCAAAAAAAAAAAAAAAA